GTAAAAGCTATCCATTCAAGCCTATGTGAATTACACTACATATTACCACATCTAATATAGTTTTACATAAGTCATTCATATGTATCACACATGACTAACAAGATATAACACCAAACTTCTAATATACATCCAGTAATTTTTAACTCTGGATAAAATTAGAATCTCTTGCTGAATTTTTAAAATACAAATTCCTGTACCTATATTCAGAGATTTATGTGAAGAGGTCCCTGAAATTCACAATTATCCTGCCCCCTAAGGAATTATTAGGATCATTGAGTTTTAAGAGTAACTGAATCAAAAAAATTAATAACTAGTATCTATAATCCAGAGATGTAAATACAGACTGGATTCCTTCCAACAAGCCAAGTATAATCAGCTTTGTACTGAGAGAATGCTACAACATTTATAGCAAAGTGTAATTAGAAATGCATCTCAGGTCCCTAAGTGAAACTATATTCCCTCTCTCAGTCTACTATCTAAGAAATATCTAAGGGAAAACTGGAAATCAGCCATTAATTTTGATACTAAATAAATTATTTTAAAACTATCATATGTAACAGGAATCTACAATTTTTATAATCATACTTATTTTTTTCCTAGATTCATTGTAAAAACCTAAACTTCTGAACAATTCACCTTTCTCAAAACAGTAATAGTTTTGTGCAGATTATGTGCTAGGCATTCAAGTATTTAACAATTCTATTGTAACTTAAGAATTATAACAACCTGATAGCATAAATAATTTTATCCTCATACAGGTGGAAACTGGGGTACAGACTGATTAGCTGGCTTGCCAAAGGTCAAGGAATTAGTGTCAGACCAAAAAGATAAGTTTATACTAACTATGTGCTTCATATTAATATGATAAACTCCCTTACCATTCATGTCAGTAATTTAAAGAGACTTCCATATTGTGAAGAATCACTTATCACATTGGATTCCTACCATTTTGAACTTCCTGCTGTCCTTTTACAAACACTTTTGTATTATAATAATTCAATAGGCACTAGCCCTACATGTCTAATAAGTACTTCAAATATAGCATGTGAATTGAGATGTTCTTAAAGCATAAAATACACACTACCATTTGAAAACTTCTTACAAAAAGAATAAAACAAGACTCAACAACTTATGTATGGATACTATGTTGCAATTGTTTTTATATATTTGGGTTTTTTTCAGTTTTTATAAATATCTCTACTAGAAATTTTAAATGACCTGGCCTCATTATGTTTCTATTTCAAAGCATTGCTGTAGCACTACTTTCATGTCTTTTCTAGTATATCGGTTCATCATATTCATTGTGGTACAGATTATGTTTATTCTACTTGTACCCTTCTCTGAAAATACAATATGCATCTACTTAAAAGAATTCATAAAAGAAGTTCATGACATATGATTTGGTTTTAACCCAGTTTTCTATGTATTGTTTTGCATCCTCCAACTTTGCATAATTTTCTTCATACTTCATTGCAAAGAATCAGTAAATAAATGAGAGGAAAAGATGAAAGACAATGCAAAAAACTGATGATAGTTCTAGTCAAATATATTCCCACTAGTAACTGAAATTTTAAGAAATAGAAAAATGTAATTGCATATATCACCATATTACTTTATAATCATGAATGGCAAGTTACCCCTAGAATTGGTTAAATGTGCCCTTACCCAAAAGATTCATATTAAAGGATTCATTTTCTAAAAGTTCGGTATGACTTTTTACACTTTCATTTTAAATATGATTAAAGTATCTTAGCCTCTTCCTTTAACGTTGTAAAAGGCAGTACATTATTCAAAACATAAAAGGAAGGAAAATCCACTAATGCCACATCTTTTAGAAAAAGGCTTTTTTTTTTTTTTTTTTTTTTTTTTTTGTCTTTTTCGTTTTTATCGGTACTGGGGACCGAACTCACGACTGCCTGCTTGCAAGGCAGGTGCTTATGCCGCTGAGCTAAATCCCCAGCCCCAAAAAAGGCATTTTTCTTTTTCAGAAGTACATAATTTTCTTCCAACATGGAGTTTTGCAAAAAAATATTTTTCCCTTTGACTTATTGAATTCTTACAGAATTTCTTGAGGTGAAAAGACTTTAAAAGTAAGTCTACTGCAAAAGTAATGTCTGAAAGTCCTCCACAATATTTTCAAGCATTCATATTGGGAAAGTTACTCCTTCCCAAAGCTGGTGATCATTCTCACCATCTTCCTCCTATTCTTCCTCAGTATTATCTTTTCTTATATTGAACTAAAATTTGTTGACTTCAAGATTTTATCCATTGATTGTGTCTCTGTTCTTAGATCATATAAATCAATCCCACTTACATGCAAGAGTTCTTTTTTTATTTTATTTAAGGAGGAAAAAAAACAGAGAAAGGCTACAAGTTATACAGATTTACAGAAAAAAATAAACAGTAGGAAATCACTAGTTAATGGATTACATATTGTCATCTTAAAAATAATTGTTCAAGTCACAAAATTATAGCATGTAAAGTGGACATTCCAACAGTGAGACTGCAAACAGTTCTGTTCAATGATCCAATAAAACTCAGTGATATCATTTTCTATCTTATACACTTAAATATACATGCAGTTATATCGTTTAGAGCACTTTCTTTTCCTCTCTTTTGTACAATGACAATTACACATTTTGGGTTTTGTTGCTCCCACAGTCCTTATTACTTTTTTGGCAGGGAGTAGAACCAAATGTGACATAATAGAACAGAGTCAATCAAATCAAAAGGGTGGTCATAATAGATAATGTAAAAGCATAATACAAGGTGATCAATAATGGTTACCATAATGCCTCCCGCTATCTCTAATAGAATTGCCTATATCATCAGTTATAATAAAATTGAACAAAACAGTAAAGAACAAAACCGTCAATGGTTTCCCATACCTGGAGAATTCACTGCCTCACATTCACATATTTTTTCATCCCAGTATCTAAAAGTACTGTAGCAAAGCGCCAAGCAAATGGGAGTTAGGATTTCCCTTCTTTTTAAAAAAATGTTTAAAGTGGTATAAGCAGTATGCACATGTATAAAAATTTTTTGTACTCCAATAATATGTGCAACTTTGTGATGTGTCAATTAAAAATAATAAATAAAAGCAAGTGTTCAGGCTAAGATAGAAGGAGGTATACAAAAGAGCAGCTAATTTTATTAAGATTGGTGTCCAAACATTTCTCTCTCTGTTTTAAAGACATTCTAGTAGCCCAATTCAAGGCATCATTAAAACTGATTCAGTCATGCAACATGCTTGTGAAAAATCATAAAAATCTAAGCCAACATATTGATCCTTCTTATTCACACTCTTATTTATTTGTCAGAATATGTGCCTTTGTGTGCATTCAGAACTAGAATTCTTTAAAAAAAAAGTCATAAGATCTATGGGAGCAATAAAACCCAAAATGTATAAATTTTGTTGTAATAAAGAGAGGGAAAAAAAAGTGCCCTAAAGGATACAACAGCGAATGTGTTTAGGTGTGTTAAATAGCTGACCATATTAATGTTTTTGATTGGATCACTGAACACAACTGTTTGCAGTCTCACTGTTTGAATGTTCACTTTGTAAGCTTTGATCCTGTGACCTGAACCACTGTCTCTAAGATGATAGTGTATAATCTATTTACTAGTGATATCTTACTGGTTTTTTTTTTTTGTAGTTCTGAATTACTTGTTCCTTTGCAGTGTTTTGTTTTGTTCTGTTTTTTTTCTCTTTTTCTTTTAAATAAAATTTAAAAAATATATAAAAGGACTTGGTACCAGTCTCTATGCTAGTGTATTAGAAAATAGAAAAAAAAATCATGTGGTCATATTTTTAGCACAAAATATAGTTCTTTTAAAAATGTTCATTCAAATGATCATTTAAAAAATAACTATTTGAAACTCTCTAAAGTATTTCTAACATATAAAGACAGAGTATGACTAGTGAAGGACCTGAAAGAATAGCACCTAGAACATAGTTTTCATTCACTGATTATTTTCCACATTTTTTGACCTTTTATTGTTCATTGTCACGTATAAAAACAATCTTAATTTAACAGCTTCTCTTTTTTATTTAAAGAGAAAAATGAAAGGGAAAAAACAAAGTAGTAAAAGGGTACAAGTAATACAGAATTTCAAGAAAAAAAATATAGTAAAAAATCACTAGTTAATAGATTACATATTGTCATCTTAGAAACAGTTGTCCAAATTACAAAATTAAAGCACACAAAGTGGACATTCATACAGTGAGATTGCAGACAGTTCTGTCCAATGATTCAACAAAAACTCAGTAACATGTTTTTCTATCCTACACACTTAAATATACATGCAACGGCTTCTCAGGATTCAGACCTATGTCTTGTAATCGCTGTTTAACTTAGCACCTAGTAAAAGTAAACACAGATTGTGGTGCTGAATAAAGACAGGTAAGACTCATGAATAAATGGCATTCTGAACAAAGGTAATGAATAGCTCACATTAAGCTGGCAAGGAAAGTTTAAGAGAGGTAAACACATTATGTGGCAAAAAATTCTGGAATCTAGACTTTAATCCCAAATGCACCATTAACTAGATCTGTGATATTAAGCAAATCATTTGATACTGATCCAGATATCCCCCCAATTTGTAAAATAAGCCTGATAATCACTAAGGCTTATTCTACTTCTGACATTTTGTAAAATCTTAGTTGAGATATACTAACAATAGTTATGCATCTGTAATCACCTCTTGATTTATCAGCTTTGAATTCCTTAATGCTGTGTTAAATAGTTTAGGTGCTTCTGTTTATTGAGTTTTTTAATAGGTTATACATATATTTTTTAATGAATGGAAACCCTTAATTGTTGAAATTCTGAGATGAAGGAGTTAGCCAAGAATGGAATCTAATCATCCTCATCTTTCTCTTTGGATAATGGTATCATTGTATAAATTGCTCAAAAACGATGCTATGGAAAATATTTTTTAAAAACCATAAATATCACTAATTTTGATCTCTCTTCTTCTTTCCCTCACTTTTTTCACAGTGACTGTTTTGAGCCCAGCAGAAAAAGGTAAGCAGATGTTATAAATTTTATTGGTCAAGACTGTTTCCTTTTATCTAAAAGTAAATCACATAAACACTTATAAATTGAGCAAATTTCAGAAACACTTGGATGATTGGAAAGTTTAGGACGATTCTTTTAAGGAAGATTAACAAGAAATACAGCAAAATATAATTTCAGTGTTCCTTTGTCTATAGGAAATGCAAATTACCGGGAAGTACCAAGAGTAAGACATAGGTAACTCATCTGTCTGCCACAGGGACCTTATTCCAGTAATGCTGAACCTTTTCAAGCTTTCAGTGATAGTCTGCTGCAGCATGGTAGCCATTGGTTCACCACCACTGCCTATATCTTGGTTTATCACTATTTTCCTCTAAGTACCTGGCATTTCTGTGCAATTCATCACCCTTCAAGAGATAAAGACTTTAGAGGGAGCTGCATTGGCCACATTCTTCATCCCATCATATTTCCAGTATATTCACAATATTTATCTTCACTCTTCAGGACTATTTTAGTTTCACCTGCAATTTATGCCAGGTTTCTAAAGTACAAGCTAAGATTCTCAACAAATTTTTAGTTCATATTATTTTATCAGTAGTATCAAGAATATTTTTATAGTTACATTGTATTGCCACTTTTAATTCTCATCTCTTGGGAATTAATTGTTATAACACACTAACTGACCTAGCATTCATTTCATGCTATTTTATGACCCTAGTTTGCTATTAGTCATGCAACAAAAGCATTTTATATAGAAACAACAGAACAGTATGCTTGGGAGAAAATAGACTATAGTATTTAAACTGTGGATTCTAGAGCTATTTAAAAACATGGTTTCTAGTAGTTAAAATATGAAATGTAGAGTTGAGTTGTGGATTCAAATTCTGATTCTGCCATTTTTAATACATTATCGTACCTCCTTGTGCTCATTTCATTTGTACACAGAAAAAATATACAACCAAATTCATATAGTTGTTATAAAAGCATGAATTAATGCATACAAAGTATTTAGAAGTGAGCAAAATTCATTCTCATGACTTAATATTTATTATTATTATCATTAGCATAAGTCCTTAATTCCATATTACTTTTATGTGTGCACATATGCTCATGTCCACACACATGTGAGTGGCCCTAGATACTGAACCTAGAGTCTTTGCACTGAACTATATCCTAAGACTCTTTTTACTTTTTAGCTTTTAGTTTGAGACAAGTTCTTGCTAAATTGTCCAGACTGGGCATAATCTTTTAGTCCTCTTCCCTCAGCCCTAAGTAGCTGAGATTACGAGAGTACACTATCATGGCAAGCTGCCTTTGATTCTTATGTGTGATTCCTAAGGTCAAAATTTATCTTTTGTATGCAAATATTAAATAAATAAATATTTTTCACAACAAACTTTCAAGACAAATGGAGATTTAGATGATGCTCTACCATAAAGGGAATAACAACATTAATATTCTTATTATTGAAAACTACAATTTACTATACCAGATACCCTGCCCAGTATTGTACATACATTATATCCTTCAATATTTATATCAACAGAATGATGTATGTATTCTTATGTCCATCTTATAAGGAAGTAAATTAAAAACTAGAGAGGTTAATTAACATATCCCAGGTCATCTAATCTGTGAGTGGTAGTATTCAAATACCAAATATCTGACATCAATGCAAACTTGCATTTGCATTTTACTTTTCAATTTAGTTTTATTTTTCTTAGTTCTTTACTCAGAAACTTGATGCTCAATTTTTTTCCAGTGTCTAAAATATTATATGTTCAGTTTTTCATGTTATCAATGAACTTAACTTTAAGTACATCAGTACGAAGTGCCATTGGTAAGCATGACTCGGTTTGACACTTTACTGGTAGAAGGAGTCCAGTTGTCAGGGTTTGAGTTCTCTAGATTATTGCAAAAATATATGACTTTCACTGTTTCTTCTGACTCTAAAATTCTATGATCCCAAAGCACTTTCTGCTTATAGTTCTTGAATTTATCAACACAATAAAGAATAAAATTAGTCTAATGGTACAAAGTGAAGGATTAAGAAACAGATGATTTACACTGAAGTTCTAAACTCACTGACTCTGACCTAAGAAAGTAACTCAACTCTGAAATTCCATTTTTATAAAATGAAGCTAGTTTAATAACATCTTATGGATTTATTGGAAACTAGGGAAAGTATGCAGCATTAGTATGCTTTGTAAATGTTAAGTATTAATAATGTCAATTGTTACATTTTTGTATGTCAGGATTCTTTACCACAGCCCTAGGAAACTAATGCAGTTGAATAAACTAATACAACTATTACCTGATAAACTTCAATCTATAATAGATCATAGAAATAATTATAATAGTAGCAAATAATTAAAGACTTTGATGTTAGATTTACCTGGAATCAAATCAATTTTACCAAATAGCAAATATATAACATTGGACAATTCATCAAGCCTTGCTTTTTCTTCCCTAAAATATAGGTCATAATTGCCTTTCATGGTTATTTTGAGCATGAAGGAGAATATATATGCGCATATCCAAACATTGTGGCTGGGACATTACGAATAAAAAATAAATAGTAACAAATATTATAATTGCATGATTGTTAATATTGGAAATGACCTGAAAGGTCTTTCTTCTAAATATATATATCACATGCTTCATGGCTATATTTCTTTATAATTCCTCTTATCAATAAATTGTCAAAATTTGTGCATTCATATTATATGGGTAGAAAAGTTGATATTCAAAGAAGTGAAATATGTTGACCTAGTCACATTGATTCTAGTTTCAGAAAGAACTAAAGCCTACTATATGAGCTACAGTTTAGCATATTACATTTTATGTCAACCTTGGTTATATTGGACTCAAATTCTTAAGAGGTTTTTTTTTCCCCCTTTTTCCATATATTGTACTAAAAATAAAATAATTATATATATCTTTTGATTCATAAGTATATTTTAAAGATGATCTCATTTCACTCAACATAATATTATCCATATTTTGAAGAGCTTCAACACAAGATCTATCTCTACTCTTGAAATGAATATCTAGTTTTAACTAGGGGTTATGAATTTAGTAGAGCCCAGCAATATATGAGACTAAAAGATGAACATAAGAATGAGATGGACATTAAGCACAAAGCACTATGCAATGCACGTTAGTTAAGAGTAATGCATTGTCCACAGTTGCTCATCTTTGAAAGTCATTTTAAACAGAAGATCAACACATTCTCAGCACAAATTTACTTGTGATTTTAATGGATTGATTAGTAAACCATCTGGTTGTTTTCTTAAAATTAAAAGGATTATAATTATTTATTGTCTCTAAATTGATGTCCTTCCTAAATAATAAAATCATTGCTGGCCAACTTGAGGACCCTCAAAATTCACACATGAAGTTCTAACCCTTTAGTGCCTCAAAATGTGATAGGGCCTTTGAAGAGATAATTAAATTAAAATGGGATCATTAGGATGGGCCCTAATCTAATCTAATTGGTGTTCTTATGAAGTAAGAAATTTGAGCAAGATAGGTACACACGACATTTATACACAGGGAGAGGTCCAGGAGAGAGGCATTAGAAGGAATCATTACTAACAACATTGGATCTAGACTCCAAAAGTTTAGAACTCAAAACTTAACAGCAAAAAACAAGCAAATAAAAGCTAAGTAAGCAACAGATTTCAATAGACATTTTTCAAAAGAAGACCTATAAATAGCAAATATATATGTAGCAAAAATGCTACCATCACTGATCTGCAATCAATGCAATTCAAAATTGTAATAAAATATTAACTCATTCCAATATAGCTATTACTGAAAAGACAAAAGATATAATTACTAATTGTGGAGAAAAAGGAAGCTTTATACAGTCTCGGTGGGAATGTAAATTAGTACAACTGTTATGAGAATCAGTAGAGAGGTTTGTCAAAAAATTAAAACTTAGACCCTACGCATGATCCAGCAATCTCACTCCTGGATATGCATCCAAAAGAATTGAGATTAGTATGTTGAAGAGACATGAGCATGCCTGTGTTCATTGAAGTGCTTTTTATAATAACAAAGACATAGAAACTAGTATGTATTGTACATATAACTTCATAAGTATGTTTAGAAGTAATATCTCCCATTTACATTTTTATAAGACTCGATATCGCTATTTCAAGGCTCTAACTTCCCCCACGCTCAACTTATCTTTCCCCAGCAGACTGGGCTGGTATATCTATGCTCCTTTGCCCTTTCCAAAATGCCCTTGCAGTCTTCACTTGTATCAGGCTGCTGCTGGGTAGTGGGGGCATGTATTAAATCAAAATGATGAAATCTGTGTGTGTGTGTGTGTGTGTGTGTATGTATATATATATACATATTTCCATATATATATATGGAAATATCAGTCACAGTGCAGCCAGTGTTCAGTTTCAGAGCCATGATTTTGCTTCCAATCCTGGATATGTACCTTTCAACATTGCTTTCAAGCCTACACTCTATACCTCCCAGCACATTTGAATTGGATGTTGAGGAAAAAAAATATTATTTTTTTGCTAAATGTTATAAAATCTAAGATGAAAAGATATAAAAAGTAAAAAACCTATTTTTAGATCTCTTTGAGCTTTGATTTTGTCCGTTTTATTGAGATATAATTTTCATTTTTTATCTTTTTTGTTTTTATCAGTACTGGGGATCAAACTCACGACCGCCTGCTTGCAAGGCAGGTGCTTATGCCACTGAGCTGAATCCCCAGCCCCGAGATATAATTTTCATTCAGTAAGAGTCACTTTTTAAGTGTGCAGGGTGACAAGTTTAATGAACATATGCAGTGACACAAATACCATCACAATCAAGATATAAAATAGTTAAATTTTCCCAAATTATTTCTTCTGTCACATTTGCAATCAATCTTCTCATTCTGTACTGTTGGTTAATAATGATCTCTTTTGTGTCCCTTGTAGTTTTACCGTTTTCATAACGTCACATAAACTGCATCACATAGTATGTAGCACTTTGTTTGG